CATTCCCCAGGGGCTGACCCCCAGCCGCCCTCCTGCTCCTGGTGACATGCATTTGGGGAGGGGCAGAAGGGAGTGGTAGGTCTAGATTTGAGGGAGATTAAAAAAATTTAAACTGGTTTAAGGCAGGAGAAGGTAAGAGGGGGGGTGTTGGTTTCTAAGCCCTGTGAACTAAAGCCTTGACCTTGAGCCTTCTCCAGTCCAGCATATCAAAATTCCAAATTTGGGGGTGTTGGTTTTGTTTTGTTTTGTTTGGGATAGAGTCTCACTATGTTGCCCAGGCTAGAGTGCTATGGCTTCAGCCTAGCTCACAGCAACCTCAAATGCCTGGGCTCAAGTGTTCCTCCTGCCTCAGCTTCCCAAGTAGCTGGACTACAGGCATGTGCCACCATGCCCAGCTAATTTTTTCTTGTTTTTTATTTTGAAATAGGGTCTCACTCTGTTGCCTGGGCTAGAGTGTCCTGGCCTCAGCCTAGCTCACAGTAACCTCCGACTCCTGGCCTCAAGCAATCCTTCTGCCTCAGCCTCCCAAGTAGCTGGTACTATAGGCATGCACCACCATGCCTGGCTAATTTTTTCCATATATTTTTAGTTTGCCAATTAATTTATTTCTATTTTTAGTAGAGACGGGGTGTCGCTCTTGCTAGGCTGTTTTTGAACTCCTGACCTTGAGCGATCCTCCCGCCTCGGCCTCCTAAGTAGCTGGACTACAGGCATGTGCCACCATGCCTGGCTAATTTTTTCTATATATTTTAGGTTGTCCAAATAATTTCTTTCTATTTTTTTTAGTAGACATGGGGTCTTGCTCTTGCTCAGGCTGGTCTCAAACTCCTGAGCGCAAAGGATCCGCCTGCCTTGGCCTCCCAGAGTTCTAGGATTAGAGCCATCAGCCACCGCCCAACCATGGGGGGTGTTGGTTTCTAAGCCCTGTGAACTAAAAATGTTAAGGCTTACCCTACCACCATCGGACTAAATGGATCTCCTGCTGTGCAAAGGAATATCCTAAAATTACAGTGCCTACCAGGAGGAAGGAGGTCTGACATACCTTATCATGCCCCCCTCCCTTCTTTGGGACATCCTTTGTTACCATTTAATAGGCCTAAGGGTATGCAAGATGAACCTACTGGTCCTCAATTTACACAACCAATCTATGTCTAGTGGCTTATCTCTGATAACAGCTCCTTATGTTAAAACATTCCAAACTTCTAGACAAAGCTTCATGTCTTTAACCTATTACAAGCCAAAAAATCTTCAAACCCATGATAACCTGTAAGCCCTGGTTTTGAGATGGTGCACCTTTTCGGGCCAAACCAATGTATGCCTCCCATGTACCGTGTTTCCCTGAAAATAAGCCCTACCCATAAAATAAGCCCTAGCAGGATTTCTAAGCCATTTGCACAATATAAACCCTACCTGGAAAATAAGACCTAGTGATGGATGTGGCTACGCAGTGTATCTGCACAACCCATGCATTTCATAGTAGAGCGGTAAAGAAGACCAGCAGCCTTTCTCATCTGCCCATGAGAGCTCTAGTGCTCGACATGAGAGATTGGGGCCAATGGTTTTAAAGGAAATCGAGTCGCAAGAAATTCAGGATGGAATTCGGGGTTTGGAGAATAATGATGATATTCCAGAAGAAGACGACTTAGCTATGTTTGAATGAATGTAAATTGTTGTACCATATTTAAAAAAAATAACGCATCCACTGAAAATAAGCCCTAGGTGTCTTCTTGAAGAAAAATAAATACAAGACCCTGTCTTATTTTCGGGGAAACACGGTAGTAGAAAATTTAGGATACAAATCTTTGTAAACTTAAGGTAGACAGAATTCTTAAACTAGTACCCAACAGCAAAAATGATAAATGAGAAAATTGATAAAAGAGACTGCAATACAATTTAAAATTTGGATTTTCTTTTTTTTCTTTTTGAGACAGAGTCTCACTCTGTTGACTGGGCTAGCGTGCTGTGGCGTCAGCCTAGCTCATAGCAACCTCAAAGTCCTGGTCTCAAGCAATCCTTCTGCCTCAGCCTGCCGAGTAGCTGGGACTACAGGCATGCGCCACCATGCCTGGCTAATTTTTTCTATATATTTTTAGTTGGACAATTAATTTCTTTCAATTTTTTTGTAGATTAGAAGCAAGATTTGTCAGTAAAAAAAAAAAAAAAAATAAAAAGAAAAAAAAATTTTTTTTTTAGAGACGGGGTCTTGCTCTTGCTCAGGCTGGTTTCAAACTCCTGACCTTGAGGGTTCCTCCCACCTCGGGCACCCAGAGTGCTAGGATTACAGCTGTGAGCCCCGGCCTACAATTTGGATTTTCTAAAGGTGACATTTAAAAAAGAGACAAGGACACCCTGGGAGAAGATAACCACAGTAAATATATCTAACAAGAAATTATAGGCTGGGCGCGGTGGCTCTTGCCTATAATCCTAGCATTCTGGGAGGCTGAGGCGGGTAGATTGCTTGAGGTCAGGAGTACGAAACCAACCTGAGCAAGAGCGAGACCCTGTCTCTACTATAAATAGATAGAAATTAATTGGCCAACTAATATATATAGACAAAATGAGCTAGGCATGGTGGTGCATGCCTGTAGTCCCAGCTACTCGGGAGGCTGAGGCAGTAGGATTACTTGAACCCAGGAGTTTGAGGTTGCTGTGAGCTAGGCTGATGCCACGGCACTCACTCAAGCCTGGGCAACAAAGCTAGACTATGTCTCAAAAAGAAAAAAGAAAAGAAAAAGAAATTATAGTGTGAATATATATTTAAAAAATGTTTACAACTCAATAACAATAAGACAAAAAGAATTGGGCAAAAGGCTTGAAAAGACATGTTTCATAAGAATACACACAAATGTGGACAAAGCATACAAAAATATATTCATCACCTTTATTTATTAGGGAAATATAGTCTCTTATAAAGAGAAACATAAACTGATATTTTAGATGAATCCAAGAATCCCACTCATCAAACTACGTACAGTTTACCCTTGAACTGTGCTTGTCCACTTTTCCATGGATTTTCTTTTGCCTCTGCCACCCTCAAGACACCAAGTCAAACCCCTCCTCTCTCTCCTTCTTCTCAGGCTACTTACCATGAGGACGTGAAGATGATAAGGATGCAAACCTGTGATGATTCACTTCCCCTGGACAAGTAGCCAATATATTTTGTCTTCTTTATGATTTTCTCAATGACATTTTCTTTTCTACACCTTAATTTATTTTATTTTATTTTATTTATTTATTTTTTTTCTTAATTTATTTTAATAAAACAATATATAATGCAGGATGGGTGTGGTGGCTCATGGCTGGAATGCTAGCTCTCCAGGATGCCGAGGTATTGGGAAAATATGATTGAGGAATTAATGAGATGTAGTTCATAAGACCATTATTTTATTGTATCGCCCCATATTACTGTATTAAAGACAGAAACTGGAGTTTGCAGGCTTTTGCACTGAAGGAATGTGTGACCTCAGTGGTTCACTTATCAGAGGCTGCTATCAAGGAAGGGCTCTCATGGCTCCAGGAGGGATTCCAGGAATGCTTCCTGGTATCTCAAAATCTGTGAGCTTCCCTGCTTCCTTGAAAGACAAGGCAGGGCAAATATGACCCACAGGATGGGAGCCAGAGACAATGAGTGCCCTTTGCCCAGAGACAGGCCCCAGTGGTTATAAATAACTTGTTTTGTAAAACACAGGCTTCCTGCTGTCTCCTGACTGACTTTAAGTCCACAGTAACTAGATCAAAAAAATATAGTCACTATTGCTCTCTTGTTATACCTTTGTTAATTGACAACTACCACTTAGAATTTAGAAGTTAGTCCCTGAAAGACTTTATACCTGTTTGTTCACCTAGATAGATTAGAAGCCCTTTGAGAGGACTTTTGACCCCAACCCACTACCTGTCTCCCCTAGCAACTGCATTCCCTGATATGTAAGTATGTTACCATGACAACTGGTAATTGCTATCTGTGATTATAAAAACCTGTGTGAATCTAACTACATTGCTGGACATTGACAGAGAATATGCCCAGTCTCCTGAGTACACAGCTGTGATTATTCTGATCTTTTTATATAAAACTGTAAACTATACATTAGACACTGTGTATTCTTTTGTTCTCTCTATTTCGTATCAATTTTCTTATCTTCTGTGGCGACCCCTATCTAAGGGACTTGGCTCCATGGGGAGAAGCAGCTGATCTCCTCGAGGCCCTGCTTCAACTGTCCCCCACACCGAGGCTGGTTGATCGCTTGAGCTCAGGAGTTAGAGAACAGCCTGAGCAAGAGTGAGACCCCGTCTGTAGTGTCTACCAAAAATAGAAAAAACTAGCCAGGCGTGGTGGTGCATGCCTGTAGTCCTAGCTACTGAGGAGGCTGAGGCAGGTAGGAGGAGAATCGCTTGAGGCCAGGAGTTTGAGGTTGCAGTGAGTTATGATGACACCACTGCACTCTACCCAGGGTGGCAGAGGGAGACCCTGTCTCAAAAAAAAAAAAAAAAAGAAAAAAAAAGGAAGGAAGGGAAGAAAAGAAAAAGAAAAACAGTATATAATACATATAACATCCAAAATATGTGTCAGTCTACTGTTTACATTATCCACAAGGCTTCTGCTCAAGAGTAGTATATCTATAGTACAGTTTTGAGGGAGACACAAGTTACATGTGGATTTCTGAATATGGGGGGATTGGCGCCTCTGATTCCAATGTTTAAGGGTCACCTTTACTTTTTTTTTTTTTTTTGAGACGGAGTCTCCCTCTGTTTCCTGGGCTAGAGTGCTGTGGTGTCAGCCTAGCTCACAGCAACTTCAAACTCCTGAGCTCAAACGATCTGCCCGACTCAGCCTCCCACACTAGACTACTAGGATTACAGTCCTGAGCCAGCATGTCCAGCCTTATTCTGTGTAGTTTTGTATCAGTAAATTAGAGGAAAATGGAATGCCGTCTTCAATCTACATGAATTAATAGAAAGAAATCTCCAAAGAAAAGATCTTTCCTCAGAAAGCACATTAAGAAGGATATATAAAGTATGGAATTGATGTGAATTTTACCAATATTGAAAATAATTTCTGTTATTGATGAACACATGTATGAAGAATATAATGAAAACATGGATGGTAATAATATAGAAACGAATTGAATTCAATGGTTACCTCTGGGCAGGAAGGAAGAGAAGGGGCTTCAGGAGTAGGGGACCCAGGAAGATTAATCTGCGAGATAACCCCTTAGGGGTGTCTGAAGCCACATGGCAAGATGCTGATATTGTCAGTGTGAAGCCAAGTGTGCGTGTCCATGTCTTGTCTATAACTCTCAGCACACTGTTCCCTGTATTTTGAATTGTTTGTAAAGAAAACTGGAGAGATGAAAGATGAGCATGTAGCAATAGGGATGTTGAGAACTCTAGAGAAGTTTTGCTCTAAAGAGAAAAAACGAAATGGTAGGGAATCACATGACAGGAAGAACAATTTTTCTTTTCCTTCCTAGTGGTTTTTCTTGTAAATTGTAGTGAGTGAAGAGTGTGTCTGTGAGATGATGAACATGACCTCTCAGACAGGATTAAACTGATGATCTTAAAGACATGAGGTAATCACAGAAGAAAGCATTGACTTTCCTTGAGAAATAGGCAAGGGCAGAGCAGATATCCAGGAAGAGATTAAAGGAGGGAATCCATCAAAATGAGACCAATTTCATTTTCATAGCTTCTGTTCCCGGGGTGGAACCTCATTGATCAGACTCCAAAGTGCCTCTATTCCCTACATCAATAACTGGAGATTGACACCAAAAAGCAGTTTAATTGATCACGGAAGACACTAGACAGTTTAAGCTCATGTTCCCTTTATTTCGGGCTCTTCTCTTAGAACCATTGCCACGGTTCTCACGGTTTCCCTCCAAGCCTCCCACAGCTGCAGGGACTGGGCTCCAGGTCATAGGATGCCCTGCTGCCACAGGTACGGCAGGGCAGGGTATGTAAGAGAATCACCTCGGGCTTCCTTAAGGCCTGAGTGTCCCTCAGTATCTCCATCAGCCAAGCCCAAAGCTGGAGATATCTCTCCCAGTAGATATCCTTAAAATAACGATAACACTCCGAAGGGGCAGAGTTTATCACTGAGTTTAACCTTTGCAGCCCGAGGATGTGGTGCAACAGGTTCTCTAGGATGGCCTTGGAGATTAGGTTCCCACAGAAGTTGAAGATCATCAGCTGGTGGCAGCGGCTTAAGGAAGGTAGGATGTCATGGACCTGGGAGTCTGTCATCCAACAGTCCTCCAAGATCAGGACCTGCAGGGTGGCTGCAACTTTCTCCAGTAGAATTAGGAGGAACTCGGATTCCAAAGTTCTCAGCATGGTGCCAGTCAGGTACAGCTCCTCTGGCTGATGCATGATTGGGTCCATGAACAGGGTGTGCATTTGTAAATCAAATATCCAGCACTCAGTGTCAAGGACTTCAAGGGGGTCCTGAGGCACCTGGGGAGAGAGAAGGCACTTAGTCCTGGGCATAGCAGTGGTGAGAGGAGACTGATGGGGAAGCAGCACAGGGCAGGAGAATGTGTCACCCAAACACAAGCAAGCTTGTCTTCTCCAGCTCATGATGGCAAACACCCTGGGTGCTGTGTATGCAAGACTGCTCATTCTGGTCTGTCCCTCTGTAGGCTGACTCCTCCCACCATCACTTGTGCCCCTGGGTCAAGCCCACAGATCCTCTAAAGCTGTGTCCTCCTGTTGGCAGTTAACCACATCTCTGGGCTGCATGAGCCCACTGGGAGACACCCTAAAAGGACACCCCAGGTCAAGATCCAGCAACAGCAGCTGGGATTCTCAGCCTGTGGGATCACTGACTGGCCTGTGTGATCAGGAAACCCCTTTTACGGTTCTTCAGTCCTGCTCCCTCACCCTCTATTCCACAAGCATGTGTTTCCCATGTTAATCACCTTTCCTGTGCTCAGACATCCTGTGACAGACGGGCAGTCACAGACAGGATGGCGTTCACTACGCTGGCGGGCATGTAGCTTGTGTGTGCACTGCGCAGCTGCGGCGTGCTTTCCCTGCTTCAATAACCTCCCTGTACCTTGTTTCTCAGCAACTTACTCACATTTCTTAAAAAGTAACTCTCGAACTCGCTCTCACTGTGTCTGAGGCCCCCTGTAGCTAGCTGTCCAGCACTGTCGCTCTCGCAGCCTCTACCCCAGTTGATCCCTGTGCCTTCACTGGGGAGGTGATGTGACATCTGCTTCAAGACAGAGCAGTGAACACACCAAGACTTTGACATCCTGTGTGTCCTTGGCTGTTACATGCCCAGCTGCTGGTACAGAGTAAATGTCCTTTAGTGCTTACTGTCACAAGGGAAGCTCTGGTCTGCTCTGCAGAGCAAGCTCACCGTCCTTGCTCACCTGAATAACTTGAGATGGTCCACGAGGAAGTTGCTGCCCTGCAGTTTAAACTTCTGGACCTTGTCCAGCTTGAAGAATTTAGTGGTCAATTCTGTCATCATGTCTTCCCTTACGTCTATCTGACCGTTGAACCACGCCAGGAAGTTGGGCAAGATGATTTGACGAACACTCTTCTTCTGGATAAGATAAGGGAAAAAGTCTTCTAAACTATCCGTGTCCCAGTAGGTGTGCACTTCAACGTGCTGGATGTGGCTCAGGTCGACCATTTCGAAAATCTTTCTGTCTTCATCGACATAGGTCCCGTAAAGGTCCAACCGCCTACAGCACAGGTGCACTGAATCCTTCCTCTGCTGGGCCCACTCACAGAGATACGTGAGAAATTCATGTGCGATGAGGTCTTGGATGCCGAGAAGCAAGTCTACGACCACCTGCAGTGGTCGCTGCCTTGCTGTGCATGGATAGTCCTCTGTTTTCCTCAGACTCCTGGCCCGTGAGGGCCTCACAGGGGCTGCAGACCACACGCTCCAGAGGTTCCAGAAGTTCTCATCAACGTCCCGTAAATCCAGCACCTGCAGCTTCCGCCCACTGTGGTTTTGTAAAACACAGGAGGGTCTCTGAGTGATGCAAAGACCGTTGCAACCTGAACTTTCATTTCCACCCTAGACATCAGCCACTCCCATCCCTGCTTTGCCCTCTCCATTGTTCCATGCGCTTTCCCAACTGGATGTTTTCCTTTGTCTGCTTCTCTTGCCTTTACTGGCATTGGAGGAAGCAGATTCTTTCCCATTTGGGGTCGCTGCACGGTGAGCTGTCCCAGCCTTCCAGGTGCTCTTTCCCAGAGTGGGCTCAGCAATGGGCAGGTCTCTGAGCTTCCTCACTGGCACCACCAGGAGCCTCTGGTCCACCCTTGGGCCTCAACTCTCCATGACCCTGCTGTGTGTCCCCAGACCCCTGTACCCTCCCTACCAGGCTCCCTGGGTCAGCCTCACCTGGGGCGAACCTTCTGAGCCAGCAGCACATCCAGCCCATCCAGCACAGCTCTTAGGGTCTCCAGGTCAGGAGTCGGCAACAGAGACCCGACAGGCAGGTGGGTGAAGGGCCAGGCCTGCACCATGGCCGTCAGGACTTTTCTCTGTCTCTTGGTGAAGGCCTCCATGAACAGTTGTGGGAAAAGTTCCCTGGGTAGCTCCTTTACAGCAGGGATGGCCACAGCCTCGTCCCTCAGCAGGCTCTGCCCCGCCAGTTGCAGGAGTCTGGGTGGAGCCTGGAGGCTCATCCTGATGAAAATCTGTAAGAAAAAAGTCCACAGGATAAATCCATAGAAAATGCATCCTTTGCAGTCCAGTAGTGATTACCCCACCTTCTCCTATACCTGATGTCCCTGCTGTGGCAGAAGTGGACCAGTCCACAGTCTCCCAATTGTACTTTGCACTCCATGCCCATGAAGGTGTCCCTCTGGCAACAGGAGGACTGTCTTTTAATACCGAGGAGGGGACAGCTTGACCACTGCACCACTGATTTTCAGTCAGTGCTCCACTAATTCCCGGAACCACGGGAAGTGTGACTGAGCAGGCTGAGGGCTAGCCTCCACCCTATGGAGAAGAAATTCCTAATCCCTAGAACCATGGGATCCCAGTTCACACAATCTGGCTGAGGATTACTAGAAGGATATCTTGATTGGCCACTGTGGCTCACGCCAAAATCAACACTTTGGGAGGCTGAGGCAGGATGCTTTGAGGCCAGGAGTTGAGTCCATGCAAGAGGAAGAGCTTTCTTTCCCCATTCCTAACTCCATCATATTCTGACATGAAAAGAAAAGAAAAAAGGAAAGAAAAGAAAAGAAAAGAAGTTTGAAGTGAGGTCAAGCACATCATGAATCAGGATTTTTGCAATGAAGACTAGACTACATTGAAAGGAAAAAAGACTGGGTACTTTTCTGTGTCATCTAGAGCTCCCTTACCTGAGACTGGCTGACTGTAGATCAGATGGGACTGTCCCTCTGGGGGTGGCTGACTTACCCAATGTGGAAGCAGTCTGCAGGGCTTTGGGACTCTCTGTGGATCTTCAGGAGCTCACATTGACCTTTTCAGTCATTCCTCCCCTTTTCAACTAACAGCTTCCAATCAGAATGTGGTATTTGATGAGATTCCTGAAGCTCCACCCAGCTCCCCCTGATGGACTTTTTGACTTTCTGTGTATTGATTGACAGAAGCAGATATCCAATCGTGAAATTGAAAGAATTAGGGATAGGATGAAAGTCAAGAATTCATTCCTAGCTGGGCAGAGTTCCTCACGCCTGCCTGTAATCCTAGCACTCTGGGAGGCCCAAGGCAGGAGGACTGCTCAAGGTCTCGAGTTTGAATCTAGCCTGAGCAAGAGCGAGACCCCGTCTCTAATAAAAAATACAAAGAAATTAATTGGCCAACCAATATAGATGGAAAAAAATTCGCTGAGCATGGTGACCCGTGCCTGTTGTCCCAGCTACTCGGGAGGTTGAGGCAGCAGGAACGCTTGAGCCCAGGAGTTTGAGGTTGCTGTGAGCTAGGTTGACGCCAGGGCACTCACTGTAGCCTGAGCAACAAAACTAGACTCTGTTTCAAAAAAAAAATAAGTGATTGCTTAAAATAAACAGCCTGTCCCAGTCCTAAAATCAAAACAGTTGTGTGGCTAAGAAATCTCGCTTTGTGCATTGATAACCGGCAAATTTCGGGTGGAAAAAGAAGCCATGTTAGTTTCTCTATCACCTCTTAGCTAACTTTTCCTTTCCAGTATTAGAACCACTATCTTTGTATTTCTTTTCTATCCTCGTTCTTTTTTTTTTTTTCTTTGGAGACAGAGTGTCACTTTGTTGCCGGGGCTGGAGTGCCATGGGGTTGGCTTAGCTCATAGCAACCTGAAACTCCTGTCTGAAGTGATCCTCCTGTCTCAGCCTCCCAAGTAGCTAGGAGTACAGGCATGCACCACCATGCCTGGCTATTTTGTTCTATATATTTTTATGTGTCCAGTAAATTTCTTTCTTTTTTTTTTTTGTTGTTATTCGAAGACTCCGTGTCTTGCTGTTGCTCAGGCCGGTCTCAAACTCCTGAGCTGAAAGGATCAGCCCACCTCATCCTCCCAGACTGCTAGGATTACAGGCGTGAACCACTGTGCCTTGGCTAATGTGTGTAGCTTTCTATCCCAGAATTCTAGCAAAATAGAATGCAGTTTTCAATCTACATGAATTGAATGAAACAAATCTCAGACAAAGAAGATCTTCCCAGAGAAAACACATTGAGAAGGATATATAAAGTATGACATCGATGTGAATTTTACCAGCATTGGAAATAATTTCTGTTATTGATGATCACATGTATAAAGAATATAATGAGAGGCCGAGGTGGGAGGATTGCTCAAGGTCAGGAGTTCAAAACTAGCCTGAGCAAGAGCGAGACCCCATCTCTACTATAAATAGAAAGAAATTATCTAAACTACTAAAAATATATATATATATAAAATTAGCCGGGCATGGTGGCGCATGCCTGTAGTCCCAGCTACTTAGGAGGCTGAGGCAGTAGGATCGCTTGAGCCCAGGAGTTTGAGGTTGCTGTGAGTTAGGCTGACACCAGGGCACTCACTCTAGCCTGGACAACAAAGTGAGACTCCCCTGCCTCTCAAAAAAAAAAAAAAAGAATATAATGAAAACATGGATGGTAATAATACCAGAAACGAATTGAATTCAGAGGTTATTCCTCTGGGCCAGGAAGTGAACGAGAAAGGGCTTCCGCAGTAAGGGAGGGATCCCAGGGAGTGTTAATCTTGCGAGGTCACACCTCAGCGGGTGTCTGAAGCCCACATGGTTCAATGATGTCTGACATTGTGAGTGGTTGTAGCCGCGCGTTGTGCGTGTCCAGTGTTGGTTACTATGACTCTCAGCATCACCGTTCCCTGTACTTGGAATTGTTGTAAAGAAAATTGTAGAGAGGATGAAAGATGAGCATGTACATAGGGAGTGTTGAGAAACTGCCTGAGAAGTTTGCTCTAAAGAGAAAAAATGTAGTGGTGGGATCCACATGACAAGCAAGAGGCCAATTTTCTTTCCTTCCTGTGCTTTTGTTTTTGTAAGTGTGTGTGTGAGGAGCGTGTTGTGGAGGTGATGAAAAACGGTGGGGGGAAAAACTCTCAGACCAGGATTAGACAGATAATGTGAAGAGATATGGTAATCACAGAAGTATAAGTCGTTGAGGAGCTGGAGAGAATCCCGGGTGTGCACAGTGATTTTAGGTATTAACATCGGTGTGCTTGGTCATCGAAAACCAGCAGAACGTGCATTGACATAAACACGCAGGAGGGCTAGGTGTGACCCTTCGTTGCATAAAACTTACTGATCATACATGCCAGCTACAAAGAATGAAGGAAACCCTTCCGGAGACGCTGATGCTGAGGAGGACCAGGAGTGAGATGCTGGATGGGGAGTGGGCACATGTGTCTATGAGGAGAGAAAAATTCGACGTGTCTGAGCACATAGAGATGCACAGGAAGGCAGTGGAAAGTTGAGAAGCCAAATAAACTGAGCATCTGCAGAGGAGGCCTCCTGGGTGAAGGGAAGGGAAGGACCCGAGTGCCGTGTCGTTGTCACGGGTGTCTTACGCTGAGGATGTCCGTCGCTGCTGGAGCAGGGGAACATGTGAAAAACGGAAATTCTGCCATGTGGCAGCCTCTTCTGAAGCAGTGGCCACATGAGGTATCCAGTGTCACAAACTGCATTTTGTGCATATTACTCGATAGCCGACAGATATTGACAATCTTCAACATATTGCATTTTACTGGCTTTAGCTAGATGAATAAGATTTTCTCTGCACCTGTACAGTCGCAAACACTCGCCACTTGCCATGGCTCCACCGCTTCTGGCTGTGGATCACAGGGGACAAGACACAGTCCTCGCCCTCTAAGGAGCAGCTCTGTCCAGCAGGTAAGTGTTGGAAGGGAAACAATCATATAGCAACGGATACCCCTTTCCGGGCGGTCAGTGTCAAGTCTTGGCTCTTTTACCCTTTACCGAGCCGAGTAGTCCCTGCACGCCTGAGGTCACAGCGGCTCTATTCATACTGCTCACACTGGAAGTTGCCCAGAAGGGCCCTTCATTATGGGAATGCTAAAACTCTGATCATGCAAACAATGCGAATATATCAGTGTATAGATGGCCAGTTGGAAACTTCAGTGGCTGGTAACTCAGTGAAAGAAGCCAACCTGAAAAGGCTGCATGGCTGGTGATTTCCCACGCATGGGGGGTGAGCCCCTGGCAAAGGCAAAGTAGGGATAGTGTAAAAAGCAGTGGTTGAGAGAGGTGATGGGAGGGAATGAAATGGGCAGAGCAAGAGCAGGTTTAGGCAGGAAAGTGCTCCTGTGTTGCTGCTGTCTCTGCTGACTCCTTCTCTGCTCCCTAGCGTGCTTATAGCCGGTTCTGCTCTCCAGTTCCGGTAAACTATTCATGCGCTATGCTGCCTCTCAAATGGGGCAATGTCCAAAGGGGTTTAGGAGCAGTGTGGAAGCTGGACTGGAGTTTGGCTCTTTCATGGCACTTAGATGTCCCAAAGGCATGCCTTGGTTCAGGCACCACGTAGGACAGGACTGTTACGTGTCCTGCGTGGGTGAGGTCAAAGTTTCCCCCACCTTTCGGCACTGTGGAAGACTGCTAAGTGTTGTGCCAGGGCACCTGGGAACAACCCCCTACGTGTGGAACTGCTGAACAAGCCACTGTCTTTAGTTCTGTTTCGTCCAAGTGCAGAGAGAGTTCTGGGCTGGAGATGGAATCCCACCTTACCCGTGTCATCTGGCTATCCTCAGGAATATTTCACCCTTCATGTCCTCCTGGATGGTTTTCTGGTCGAAGTAGGGAAGGTCTTCATGCCAGAAAACAAAGATTGGTAAGATTGCTGATTGTCACCTGCATTGCAAACATTGCCAAGTGGAGAACTATGAATCGGGAGCAAATTTTCCATGGTTAGTGGTGGGCAGATATGAGGAGCTCCACCCTAATATGAAAGTCAATTCTCCAATTGTCCTGCACAGGAGTGTTGTCATTCTCTGAGGCCCCATATCGTGTCTCGCCTCATATTTGAGTTCTGGGATGTTGTTGCTATATCCCAGACTACGTATTGGATTTGTTTCTGTGTCCAAGTGAAGGTCAGCTTACTTCCCCTTTGGGTATTGAAAAATGAAGCCTAACTGGACCAGATGTGGGACTCAAGACTTCGTAAATCCAGCTCTTGAGCGGTTGGATGTGGTAGGAGGATCGCGAGGCACAAGTTGGAGATTCAGAGTGCAAAATATGAGACTTAAATCTCTACCAAAAAAATTTAGGTTTTTTCTCTTTGAGACATAGTCTTCACTCTGTTGCCTGTAGAGAATATTCGAAAAGTTAAAGCCTGGGTAAAGGGATGTGAGAAGGTGAAAAGTGGCAAGTCCTGCAGAAGAACTGGGACAGATGCTTCTCACTTGGTTGCCTATATAAGAGGACTTTGAATTCATGCGAGTGTGATGATGTTGAGTCCAGCCTTTGCTCTACGGACGTGAAGGATCC